CTGACGTTGGTGAGCATCAAACCGTTTCGTAAACGGTCGTTGCGTGCGAGGGTGAGGGTGTATTTCACAAGGGGAGAAACTCCAGCATGGGAGCATTTCCTCTCATCAGTCCCAATGTGAAACCTGTGGTTTCACTCTTGATGACAAACAAATGCAGCTCTCCTTAAAATTACTGGCAGCAAGTGTTCAAGAATTTCAACATTTGCAGTATGTTTCTTTTATATATATATATATATATATATATGATGCAGATTTAAAGATTAAGTTTTGCAGTCTGGTAAATTGAGGCTTGAATGTTCATGTGGGATCAGCTGTTTATTCTCTCTTTCAGTGTCTTTGAATGTTTGTGAATAAACAAACTCAATTATTGTACATGTTTGAACGAGTATGCTTTTCCCTTTCAGCTCTCCACAGTGTTTCAAATTACCAAAACGCACAATGGGAACTTTAATCTACAATCTTGACTACATGTGGCACCTTTCAGTTCCCTCTCCCAATAACGACCAACCTCTATTAGTTTCTCATACGGTCCTGAACTTGCGTGAAAATAACAGATTTTTTTTTTACAGCCAGTGTAAAGTTAGATAAGCTTGCCTCCTGACGTTAAGCGCCTGGGAGCCATTATAATAAAAACCAGAGATGAAATTTGACGAGCGGAGGTGTGTCGTCATGTTTTACATGATATTAAAGTTTTTCTTTCCTCTCTATTTTGACATATTGCAACCACAAACCTCCATGTTTTATTGAGATATTATGTGACATGGCCAACAAAAATTAATGCATTATTGTCAAAGTGAGAGAAAACAATTTTCCAAGGATTTTACAAACCTGACAAATGCACTGTTCCTATCATAAAAAAACAGGATCCATGCAGAGAGGTCAGGGAGGGACTTTAAAACGGGGTTCGATTACACTGCTCAGGCCATCATTTCAACATGGAAAGATTTGTGTGGCGCAAGAGGAAACCCACCAAATCTGCTAGTAAGTGGGGGAAAATAACCTTCCCTTTCTGTAATAAGGTTAAAGGAGACGCTTGGAAATTTCAAATAATGGTCAAAATTAGTAAAAACATATATATACCTCAACCTTATCAGTCTGTGGTTGTAAGGGCAGAGGTTCGTGGGTGAAAGGCGTTATAAAATCGTCAAACTTGCGTCATTGTGTTGGCAAAAATGAGAAATAAAAAAATCCAATTGACTGTCGCCGTCTGTAAGGACACCATGTTTTCTTCTGAGGACAACAACAAGCTCAAAGCTTATATCTTTCTGTCTTATTCAGATATACTCCTGTCTGTTTTGTGCCTTTTTTCTTGATTTATTTATTTTTTCAACGAGGAGATCGAAAGCAGTGAGGCACATTGCAAAGACATGGATGAGTGGACCGTCACATGGCCTAGCCACTTGTGAAATCTGATTTTCTTTGAGCTCTGTCATCTTTCATTTGTTTACATCTCCTGTAATGGTCTTTCCAGTCAGGCCGGCCTCTGCAGACCGACAGAACAATGGCAGGAGCAGCATTAACAAGGAAGCATTTAAAACTCAATTTTGTAATGGAGCTGCAATCAGACCCAATGGCTGAGAGTGGTTTGGGTTGCTTTTTTTTTATTTATTTTTTTAACACCGCATGCGTTCAAGCATGGTTCTGGCAGACCGTGAGAGTGCATTAGAGTTGAGTGCATAGCTCTGTGGATGTATCCTTACCATCTGATAACAATCCTCCAAATTCAAGTGCAGCAAACTGTTGGTTTAGATTGGCAGGTTTAGCAGGGTATTCTTAGAAAGACAGTTACCCTGAAGCGAAATAGCCTTCATGTTGTCTTTGGCCTGTTAACTTTAAGAAAATAGTTTCAGGCAAAAGAATGTACCGATGAGGTTCTGTGGAAAGCCTCCTTCCCTCCCACACTCCCTCACAGAGTCCGTCTGGGGTTTTGTTTTTCTTTGTTCTTTTTGGCCACACTTCCAATCATATCAAAAGTAACCAGAGTAACTCAAAAATGAGTTTATTTGCCAAGACTGAAATCTGTCCACACCAACCTGCACCCATGGGAGAAAAGTGAACATGACAAATGCGATGACTGTCAATGAGTCACCGACGTTGCCATGGGGGAATTTTGGAAATTTTGATCACAACTGCTTCAAAATCGTATAAATCCAGATTGATAGATATCACTAAGTTTGTTTCTTAGTAGAACTTTAATTTCTGAAAATCGGGCCGTAATCTGTTCCTTTTTCTTTTTTTTAACTTCATGACTCTGGCAGTGATCAGGATTGGATGTTTGGATGCTACTTCTGAAATTAAACTCAGGTTTTCAAACACTTTGGTTATTTACCTATATTTTACAGCTCATCAAAGGAGGAGATTACTTTCTCACACTTGGATAGCGCCCTCTCCTCTGAAAGGTTAAGCCATTTAGTGTATTTTGTGTTTTTTCAGGTTGTTCTTATCTTCGCACGTTTTGGTGATTTGACGGAAAATTCATCAATTTACGCAACTGCAGGCAAACCTGAATGTGTACTTTTCATAAGCAGGGGCACTGAATTTCCCGCCCCGAGCCAAAAGTTGAGCATTTCATATCTTTAAATACCAGCTGGGAGACATAATGATCAAGCAGGCTTCATGAAGGCTACAGAGAGACATAACTCTAAACGGCTCAGGCCACGTTTACTGTCAACGCAACGTTACTTCCTGGATTCAGTCTTTCTTTGATCAACCTACATGCATTTTCTCATGAAATGCAGAAGTGATTCACACGACTGCGGGTTTTTGAGGGGAGTTTTTTTAATGCCTGGGCTCATGTACTGTTGCAGTGCAGCTTGTTGCAATTGGCTTCATGAGATCCATGTGACAGCACTGCAAGAACGAAATAAAATCTTACCTGACTAGTTTAGCTTCCTGTACAAAAATCCTTGCATATTTGTAATAAGATGAAACTAAATTACAAGTTTGATTTAAATCAATAATTCCTTAGCATTGATGAAAAAGTACTTGTTCGATTAGCAGATTATTTTACTGACAAGACATTTTTTCTGTTCTAAGTGATGTTATATTCTATATTTGCACTAAAAACTAGACTAAAATTACTTGGTATGATTTTGTGTTGTTGCAGTAAATTGCTGAAGTCAAAATGCCAGATTGCTTTTACTTGTGCAGATGGTGACCTTTCAGTCTTGACTTTTTTTTTGGTTAGATTATATAGACACTGCAACACAGACGACCTCGCCAAACGTTCATGTTTTGCTCTGTTTTAGTTCGTCTCCGCCTAATCTTTTTTTTTTTAACCCTCTTGAAACGACTGCCTGAGCTCATCCATTAGACAACGGAGAAGAATGTTGACTCGGACCGAGCAGACCATTGGAAGGGTGCTTGCGGTATTTACAGCACTTGAGCAAACACGGAGGCAGGCTCATCCACGTGAGACGAGTGCAGAGGCAGGAGAGTGACGCGTGTTGCAGAAACATCCCAGGAACGAGGCGCTCGCTGGAGACAGGAAGTCACACCACTGATGGTAGAAAGTGGAAGCTGCAGCCGCGCCGGGCCATTTTGCCGTCTATTTTGCGTTGTGTTTTTGCCACCGGCTGGCAAAAACACGACGACGTGGGCGGACGGAGAGGGAATCGAGCCGGCAACCCATCAACTGGGGGAACGAACTCCTACCACCGTCTCAACAAGACCAAAAAGAACATCTTTCAGTCAAAATGTTCCCAGATGAGAAATACTTGACTGTAACTGTTTGAAAACATCTTGCCAAAAATCATCAGAGAACAAACAATGTAAGAACAAAAGCTCAGTAGTTTGAATAGCATTATTAAAGGCAAAACAACAGTTGGTTTTGAACCAAAAAAAAAACTCAATATTTTGAAAAGAAGACTTTTGCTAGTCACACATGCGCACAGTTTAAATTTTGAAATTGATTTCTGGTTGAGCTCACTCTGGCCTGAAAAGAAGAAAATGTAAAATCCATTAATAAAATCAATGGCATTGATGCCCATGGTGTGTGTGTGTGTGTGTGTGTGTGTGTGTGTGTGTGTGTGTGTGCGCGCGCGCGCGCAGGGGGAAACCCTGCTTGTTTTTGTTCCCTTTTATACCCACTGCTGGAATAACTTTTCCTTTTCAGTTCTATAAGGAGCAAGATGAATCACAATTTTTTTTAAACCTAAAGATATGCTGCAGTTGGAACAATAAAAAAATGAAAATAAACAAATGGGCCTAAAACTCCCGTACCAATCAAATCTGTGGGTTTTCCTGCAGATGTGTGCTGGGGCAGAGCTGCAGATGTCCACAGTGCAAACATCACATGCATGTAATGTACTGTAAACAGCTGTGCACTGTACAATTACAATTTTTACTTACCATTTAAGTTGCTATATTCTTCCCATGAGGAGCATAAGTGCTGCAACCTGTTACCTTTTTTTTCCCTTCCCTACACGAGCATCCATTTAATTGTACACCTTTGAGATCATGGAGCCTGAAGATAGAAACGTGGGTTCGGTGTTTGTTTTTGTGTTTGTTGTAAGCCGACTGACGGTAACTGAATGCGAACTGCTGGTTCGCATCGTTTCCAGATCAAACTCTGGGTTTTCTCGTGGTGAACGTTTGTCCGCCTTCCTCTTGCACTTCTCCACGTTTGTGTAGTTTCAGTGGCTGCGGTTCGTAGGTGTTGAGCATTTCAGGCGTTTTAAATCCGTCGCCTGCACTCTGCTGAAAAGCACGAATCAAGGTTGAGCTTTTCCCCGATAGGCGTGTCGTGCGCGTGTCTCCTGTCCAGGCAGCTGAGGCGAACGCTGCGGTGGGTCTGGTTCCCTTGCAGTGTTGGGAACAGATTTTCTCTACAAAAACGAAACGAGATGTTCCTCCAGTTGCATCATTAAACCCACTGACTGAATAAAGCGGCAGTTTAATATTCTTCCTTCGTGTAACGTAGACATAAGATTGTACTGCGTCTGTATGTGCCCGTTTTATTTTATTCATTACTTTCTTTTTGTTTGTTTTTTTGCCTCCAGGCCCGGGAAGCCAACCACGCCGGTAACCGGATCTCTGCAGAGAGGAACAGCAGGACCGCCAAGACGCTGAACAACGTGGGTCTGGGGATCGGGCTCGCATCCCTCGTCCTTTCCATCATTTACATTGTGGTGGTCGTCATCATGGCTTCCGGACATTAGTGTCTCCATTTCATACTTTTACTGTGCATGGCTCGGTTACATAACGAGAAGCTGCCCTGTGTTTGCATTATTGAATAATGGTGTTGATGAGAATGCAATCAGTGTTTTTTGTTTTCTTTTGTTTTTTTATCATCTTTTTTTGTAATCAAAGTGATTAAATACCTGCTTCTCTTCTGGCAGTTTTATTTTTATATAAAGTAATGTTTTTTTTGTTACATTATTATTTCAGACAAAGTTGGACAATCGGCCTCTAAAAAAAATCAGCATAAATGTAGAAGAAGTGGAGCTGCTGTAGCGGACGCAGCTTCCTCTTATTGGCTCCGACTCGATCTGATCGCGCTCCGGATCAAACCGAACCGTACCGACTATTTGGCAATGACTTTGTTTTCCAGTTTTCTGCTTTTTCCAAACCATGCTTAAAAGGCTTTGTTTCTCAATAAAGAACATCTTTATAAATAAAAGCGCAACGCAAACCATTCTGAGTCCTTTTCTTTCTGTTTTGCTTATCCAAATGCAATAAACAAAAATGAAAAATTGTTTGATGTGAATTTAAAATTGCAGCATTTCTGATCTTGTCCTCTGATGTTCTTGCTTTAAAAGGAAGATTAATGCTTTTCTTTTCTCTCTTTTTTTTAACCCCTAACATTGCAACAAAAGACGCCCATTGATTTTATTTTCCCTCAAGCAACATCAGCAGCAACAGGATATGACTCAAGTCTTCAAGAGGCCTGAGAACGTCCATGGATCCCTTTCAACACGTCGAGTCTGTTCCAGTAAACGTCTTGACTGCACCTCCCCGTCCCTGCCCCCGCTTTCTCCATTCCTTCACCACACGAGTTTGTGTCCAAACTGATATTTTAATAAACTTCTGTATTTTTTTGGTAGGGGTTTTTTTGGGGAGGGTTCTCGCCTTCTTCAATTTGATTGTGCAATACAGTGAACCGGTTTCTCCACCATTGACTTTACTTGGTTCCATTTTCTCAAATCCTTTCGTTTTTGAGACCATGGGAATCTGCATCATTGCCTCGGATTTTTCTCAACGATCCCTCAAGAATGACAATGCAAAACTTAAGTGTGCATTCAGCCGTAGAAGCTTTTTATATATATATATATTCCATCTTCAATGGCTTTTCTTTTATTTTTATGTGTTGCACCTCCCTGCCCCCACCTCCTCTCGATAACTTTGCAGATCCACACCTAGAGACTGACATTATTGCACGTCAATTTTTTACTTTATTTCGTTTGTAAAACTGTCAAAAACCGTCTTGGTATTGTAGAGATCAGCGACCCCTGATCTAAACGACCCCACTGTATGTTTAAAGTCCTGCTGGAAGGAAATCTACGCCTCGGTGTGTCTCAAAAATGTTTGCATGTTGACTTCCGTATTTAACTCCAGTTAAACTCTGACCGACAGATCGTCCACCTGCGGGCTGAGTTTAACGTGGACATGCTTAGAGCGGTCAAAGCCGACGGTGCAACTTCACTAAATATCCAGGGGAAGTCTTTATAAATCAGGGAACTCATCCATTGGAAACCACCAGTGTTCATATGTGCTTTGGCACAGACGTCCGACTTCATCAGCACAGAATCTCAGAGAAAAGAAACACAGAGAAGAAATAGAAATCGGTTCGTGACTCCCTATCCCAACTCCAAAATGTTTAGCTCTGAAGAAGAGATGGAGAGATTAAAATAAGGCCATAAAATTGACACTCTTAAGGGGCAAACTGAAGATTTTGATTCTGCCTCTTGTCTGTGGCAGTCAGACTTTCCCGTCTTGACCTGTGAGAAACGCTATGTATTTTTTAGCAGCTTTATTTGCGACGTCCCTTCTCTCGTAACGCTGCCACCGTGTCTCACTGTGGTGAGTGGTGAATTCTGGGTGGTTTCCAATGCAGGGTAAAGGGGCCAAATGCAAGCGTGAAGTGCACAGTTCAGAGGCTGAGATCCAGACAAAAGTCAGGGGGCAAATTAATCTTTAATGCATGTGCAGCCGGAGAACAGAAAATACAGGAACTGAGAAAAAAAATCTGTCCTCTCGAACTCAGAGTTACATAGTTGCTTTATTCACCTCTCTCTCAGCTAACAGAGGCGGAGATTTAACCTTCAAGGGCCAAACAAAGGAAAAAGAAAAAAAAAACAGATGGAACAGTTCAACATCTTACGCTCATTCACTGTCATGTCTACACTGTCTAAACCTAAACACCATGTCCGTGCAGGGAAGGCCACAGGAAAAATAGCAAGTTCCCAGACGATCGGCCTGGGAAAGGTCAGGAGGCCCGTCTTGTTCAATTAGTTTGCACACCCTCTGCAGCCGCACAGAAAAACATCTTGACTGTGATACAGCAACATTACATTCATGTGATACACAAATAAAACATTTTCTCCTTCACACAAGCCACACTGTGTCAAATTGTACTAGTGAAACACTTCCCTTCCGCACCGCTTTGTACTAACCTTACAGCATCGCGTCACGGAGGTTCATGACATTAATGATATCAAAAAAAAAAAAGAGCTGTGGTTGTGCATGTCTGACACCTCTACAGCTCTACAGGAGTCAAGTTTCTGCAAACATCCTCCAAATTACGAGATCACTGTCAGTGTACAGCTTCACTCAGCTTTTTTTTCCGGGACGCATGTGGTGGGCCCCTCAGACACCCCCCCCCACACACACACACACACACACACGCACACACACATTCTGTGAAAGTGGGACACTATCGCAATAAACATGGTCTCAGTACTTCTCACTGAAATGTTTTTGACATGGTATTCAAGCAGGTATTTTTCTGAAAGTAAACAACTATATGTGTTAAGGCGTAAACAGGTTGTGACTTAAAGAAATCTCCTCAGTGTAATAATATTATTCAGACATTTACTTCCACTTTTGAAATTCCAGAAACCAGAACAAGTCTAAATGGGTTTAAGAAGAGTGTGTGTGTGTGTGTGTGTGTGTGTGTGTGTGTGTGTGTGTGTGTGTGTGTGTGTGTGTGTGTGTGTGTGTGTGTGTGTGTGTGTGTGTGTGTGTGTGTGTGTTTTGGCGGGGTTGTTGGTGGTTTTGTGACTGCAGTCACAGCAGACGCTGTGGGTGCAGAAGTGATACTGCGCCGCAGGAACTTGCTGATGTCTTTCCCCTCGTGAGAGACTGGGCTGAAGAGACTAAAGCTGAACTCTTTGCGAGGTGTGTGTCCCATTAGATCTGACATAGAGGCAACGCAGCGCTTCAGAAAAAGAGCATCATACCAACCACCGTGTGATGCTGGCATGACGCCAGTGTGATGTTCTGGTTCTGTTCTGCTGCTTCGAGACCTGGAAGACTCGCTGAGATAAATGGAGCTATGGATCCTGCTGTCGACCAAAACATCTTGGAGAACGACCTTCATGATCCAAACACGCCAGCAACTCCGCTGCTGAATGGCTGCACTAAAAGAAAACAATAGATAAAGTGAAAAGTTTGGCCTAGTGAAAATCCTGACTTGAATTCTATTCAGATGTTGCTGGTAAAAGTGGCTCAAGCAGTGAATTTAGTGACAGTTTGGTCTTTCTGCTGACAGGGTGACCCAAACTAATCCACCCATATCTCTGGCTGTGTAGGGCCCCCTGCTGGGTAATCTGAGAAACATAAACCTGCCGCACCTGTAAACAATGACAAAAAAAAATAAAAAAAATAAATAAAACGAATTGGTGGTACGTTTCATCATTACACACTTTTTAATGCAACTAAAGAATAATAAATAAAAAAAAAACACAAACCCTGCAACGCCTGATAGATTGTTTTCCGAATGCATTGACGTATTGCGTCGTCTTTGGTCGAGAAAAAATAAATGTTAAAAAGTAACTACAAAGAACTTCATGTGAGCTGTTACTCTGGTATTTTCTCATTTTTATAATCGTCATTTGAAGACGTGACAAAGTAGCCATTTCCCCTCTCAGTCCACCAAAATAAAACTTGCACATAGCCGCAATTTTTAGTTGACCTCTTGGGAAAAAAACGCAACATAATTTCGGAGATATTTAACAGTAGAAAGCAAAAACGTTTGACTTCAAAATGAGTTTAAAAAAATGAAGTACCCATTGCTGTTTTTCGTTGTCGCTTTTAATTCCACAAGGTAAAACAAAGAGCTTTTGATTCTATGCATGGCATAAACTTTATTGAATATATGAAGACAAATACAAATGGGGGGGAAAAAAGAGAAAATAAAGTCACTTTTCCACCCCTCAAACAAGAAAATAACTTAAGTCACCCTTTAATCAATTCAAAACATAAAGATCAATGCGTTTCATTTTTTTCTGAACCGAGCTTTTCTTCCACCTTCAGATCCATGCAGACTTCCTGGGTTTGGATTATGTCTGTTCAGGTGTAATTCAACCCCAGACATACGCAGCTTCGTTCTGTCTGTTGAATGGAAGGAGCGTTTCCCCTTTCGTCACTCTGACAAAGGCACTCGCTGACCTCTTGTGCAAAAAGTCCTCGGAGGAGGACAGCAGAACATGCAAAGTTGTCCTTGTTCCATCAGCTGACATGTAAATGTGGTTAAAGATCTTCAAACTGCTACTTTTGGTTAACATTTTTACTGACACAGATACAGAAAGCTGAAGCTCACTCAGGACTTTTAGCCGATTTGTTGCTGAACAGAAGCCGTGTGCCGATCACACACCAGTGACCTGCAGATGATGGATGATGACGGGTGCGTACGGCTAAGCACATCGATTGTAGATTTGTGAAATATTTACACTTAAAACCTTCCCTCTCGTTCAGCGGCGTGCGCGCGCCGACTTACATTCATCCCCACTGTCTTAAATCGCAGAGCTACTTAGAACGACACAAGCGAGAGAAGATGGCGTCATCACAGAAAGCAGAGCTTGGCTACTGAAATTTGTTCGCTGTTCATTTTTTTCTGTTATTTAACATTAGTCAGATTTAGCTCGAATTTCTGATATGGACCAGAACCGAGAGCTCCGGCGGTGTGTGAGAATCCACCAGACCTTTGCTGAGATAAGTCGAGGCTAAACAGGCAAGAAGGACAGAGGCAGGAATGTGACGCCAACGTCTGAAAATGGCAGTTTTTATGATCAGCATCGCTAAATGGTTACAGATATGCAACATGAACCATCTTCTCTGTTGAAATATATTGTGTTTTTAAATAGCAGTTTATGATCCTTCTGTGTGGGGGTGGGGGGGAGATCTTCTTAGTACGAGCGGATGGCAGGAGGAACGTGGGCGCAGTCCTGTTCGTTCAGAGAGCTGTCGATGACACGGCGGTACCTCAGCGTCACCTGGGATTGGTCGGAATGAGAGGCGCGTTAGACATCGCTAATGACGGTGAGATGACGACAAACCAGAGCTGTGATACCTTTCCGGTCTTGGGGTCCACGTATGACATGGTGTGCTTCCTCCAGTGCTGCTCGAAGGGCTTCTTCTGCTGACCCTCCAGGGGCTTGGAGTAGTCGTACTCGTCAATACGATCCTGAAACACAAAACGAGCTGATCAAGTCGCCATGTTGACAGACTGGGGTGAGAACGGAACCACAGGTGCAACAAATGAATGAAATTTTCACAGTTTTGTCGTCCAACAGTGTGTGTTTGTGTATCTGGAAATGCTACATTCCTGGCTTTAAATATCATATTGAACATTTTCTGAAACAAACTCAAATATCCAGAACGTGTGTATCGCCCCCAAGTGGTCAGAAAATGAAACTACATTTTTCTAACAAATCAGCCTGCTTTGCATTTGACCATGCTCAACTGATCATAGTAAGATGAAAGTATGCAGTCACAATTACTTTAAATGAGCGAAGAAACGGAAATACAAAGATCAGTAACGTAAAAATATATATATATATAAATCTAAGGACTAACTTTGAAGTCCTCTCTGGCGTGGGCGCCCCTGCTCTCCTTTCTTTGCTCAGCAGCGTTGATGGTTTGGACGGCGTTCAGCATCAGGTTTTGCAGCTCGAGTGACTCCACCAAATCTGTGTTCCACACGATGCCTAACACACACACACACACATACACACACACACACACACACAAAAAAAAAATAAATAAATCCACCTCAGTCCATTCCCCACACAGCCACAGATGGACCCAGAGTGCAAAGACGACGGCAGACGCCTACCTCTGTCAAACGTTTTGATCTTCTCCATGCTCTGGTAGACGTCGGCCATCTTATCGCATCCCTCCTTCAGAACAGAGCCGGTACGGAAGACGGCGGCGTGGTTCTGCATGGTCTGGGCGCGGGGAAATAAAACAATTTTAGCTTTTGGAAGAACACGTTCTATCAAATCCACGGTGGACTGCTGAGTTTGTGTTCAAAGTGTTCACCTTCTGCATGTTCAGCCTGATCTCTGATGTTCTCAGACTTCCATTAGCAAATCTCAGCTTGTCCAGGTTGGCCACAGACTCCTCTCCCGCGCTGGGCTTCAGCGGGGATAGCTTCTCTCCTACAGCGACGTAAACAAGCGTTAGCAGTGATTTCGCATGGAACACTGCTAGTTTAACACATTGACCCATCAGTCACGTTGTCTGCCGCAGAAGCAGAGAAGTCTTACCCGGTTTATGCTCCTCTGCGATCGTTAGCGCGCAGGCTCTCCCGAACACCACCAGGTCCAGCAGGGAGTTAGCGCCCAGCCTGTTAGCGCCGTGCACGCTGGCACAAGCCGCCTCACCGCAGGCGTACAGCCCAGGAACCACCTTGTCCTCGCCGTTGGTGTGATCGATCACCTGAAGGTGGGGAAAAAAAGAAATAAATTCACCGTTAACGGTCTGAGGAGACCATTTGAGAGCGGCGAACGGGATCAGGGGGCGTACCTGTCCCTTGTAGTTGGTGGGAATTCCTCCCATGTTGTAGTGAACCGTAGGCAGGACGGGGATGGGCTCTTTAGTCACGTCGACTCCAGCGAAGATCATAGCCGTCTCGGAGATCCCGGGCAGCCTGGTGGCCAGCTGCTGCGGAGGCAGGTGGTGGAGCTGCAGGTACACGTGGTCCTTGTCCGGACCCACACCTCTGCAGAGAGTGGGGCGGCCATTTCATCGACCGCTTCATGCTTGCAGCCACGAAGCAGAAAAAACTGTGTGCGTCCCTCCCTACCTGCCCTCTCTGATCTCTATGGTCATGGAGCGCGACACCACATCTCTGGAAGCCAGGTCTTTGGCGTTGGGGGCGTAACGCTCCATGAAGCGCTCGCCCTCGCTGTTGATCAGGATCCCTCCCTCGCCACGGCAACCTTCTGTGATCAGGCAGCCAGCCCCGTAGATCCCTGCACACATTCACGTGTTAAGCTGCTGAGAAGGCATCGTTCGTACAACAACTCCAGTAGGGTTGAAATGAGTTAATAGTGATTAATCAATTATTGACCAATTTAGTAATCGGTTAATTGGAGTATGCAAACTCTAAAGTTGCCCATTTGCTGAAAGAATAAGAGTCAGAGCACTAATTGAGCAACAACTGTATAAAGAATATATGTTTTCCATTTATGATTAAACAAAAAAAAGTCTATAAATGTATTCTACCCAGAATTTCTCAGGTATCATTTTAGCTTCACCTGGTTCAAATTCTGCTACATCAGTCTTCTGTTAGGCACATTTTGCTGTCAATTTATCAATTCAAAAATAATCAACACAGTAGACAGTAAGTTATTGTTGAAGATGCAGCTTTTACTACAAATAATCAAGCTTTCATTAAAGGAATACTATGTTTGTTATTGCACTGTAAAAAAAAAAAAGCCTAATTATTTGTGTCTTTTAAAATATGTTAAATATTGTGTAAAAAGTGGCTTATGTGATTAAATGAAGAATTGGAACAATGTGGCAATTTTTTAAAAATCCGATCAGTCATCAATGTAATCAATAGAATAATCGACAATGAACGTAATCATTAATTGCAGCCCTGAATTCCAGGACTTACTTCCAAGAACTAAATACCTTTTAGTGTCATTTTTAAAACGTGAGACACTAAAGGTTTGGCCTGGACGGGTTCTCTACCTGCAAGTCTTACAATACTATTTAGATTGCCCTGTTTTTGTAAAGTCTCTAAAAATGAACTCGTTTAGGTTCCATGTAAGAAAAACAATAAAATCAAACAATAAATTTGAATATTTATGTCATCCTTCGAGTCAAGTTGACGCATTCTGCTGCAACGTTCCTCCACGAAGGTTTTTATACCCTTCAGTTCTGAGCTCAAATCTAAAACGGCAGGTTGTAGTGGTGGCCTCAATTATCTACGCTCATCACTGTAAATCCAACCGTAACTATTTTTGACCCACACTATTTAAACTGTGCTTATTTAGCCAACAGGTGAAAGTAAGAAGATCAGACTATAAGAGAAAAGACAAACACGCAGCCTTCAATACGGTGGAGCACGATTGTGAAACGTCACCGTTGAGCCTGGTGTTAAATGTCTGGCTGAAACAAAAACAAGGATGGCCTTCAGTCACACACATCTGTCACATTTTACGTCTGAACACAGAAACGGTTCAGTCCATGTCCGAAAGCTGGACACCGATGATCAGAGGGTCAAAAATCGAGCAAAATGTAAAACTACAACACGCACGGTGAGAGTCGTTTGAGTGAAAACATGCAGAGTTAAGACTTGTTCTTTTCTGCAAAACCTGGACCAAGTCACAATTTATTTTCACAGTTTTTCTTAATCTTTTCCAAAATTTCAAGTTAAAGTAGTTGTGGCATTACGTCTGTCCGTCTGTGCGTCTCTAGCTTCACCTTCTGCTGCAGCCTTTGGGATGAAGGTCTACAACAATCAGCCAACAACAACATCCAGCATGAAACCAATGTTTCAGCATTAATGCAGTTCAATCTCAATAAAGCAATGCTGCTTTTCCTTTCAATTAATCAACAAGATTGTAACTCTTGAGTGCTTTGTTCTCAACTCTCTTTATGCCGCTCAGTGAGATAGGAGGTGCAAAGTTCCACACATGTAAACATTAACACTTTCTCACAATATTATGCCACATTTCTGTGGCACTTTAAAGCAGTTTGTCTCTCCTCTGACTCTGGTTGTGACTTTTCTCACCAGTGGGATGGAACTGCACAAACTCCAAATCCTGGCACGGCAGGCCGGCTCTGGTCACCATGGCGTTTCCGTCTCCTGTGCTCGTGTGGGCAGACGTGCAGCTGAAATACGTCCTTCCGTAACCACTGAGAGACACACACATTAAAATTGTATTACGACTGACTCCCGAGCCGACAACACTGAGCCGCGGCCGGGTTCCTGCCGTACCCGGTGGCGATGACGGTGTTCTGGGCTCTGAAGCGGTGGATGGAGCCGTCCTCCATGCAGAGAGCAATAACTCCTTTGCACTCTCCGTTTTCCATCAGCAGATCCAGGGCAAAGTACTCCACAAAGTAACTGGTGTCATAGCGGAGTGACTGAGGGAAAGGCAGGGAGAGTGAAATGCAGTTCGAGCAAAATGAGCTTCTCGGTCTGAGCTGGAGGGAGAAGCTGATGTCCTCACCCTTCCATAAAGCGTATGCAGCAAGGAGTGTCCCGTCCGGTCCGCCACACAGCAGCAGCGGTGGGCCTGGCCCCCCTTCCCGTACTTGAGACTCTGACCCCCGAAGGCTCTCTGGTAGATCTTCCCGTCTTCGGTGCGGCTGAACGGCATGCCAAAGTTTTCCAGCTGAGAAAGATGAGCAACACGAGACTCACATTGATCACTGTGACTCATGCCTCCTCGAAGGCTTTCTTATAGAGTTAAAGAAACTAACACTGTAGCACCACCTTGAATAATTATGGTTTCTTTGGGAGGAGTCAAATATATGCAAGATTTAAAAAAAAAAAAAGAAAGATCAAACAAAACCCCATCAAGAGACAGAGCTGACCTCCACTACGGCTGCAGGAGCCTGCTCTGTCATGTAATGGATGGCGTCCTGGTCTCCCAGCCAATCGGATCCCTTCACCGTGTCGTAGAAGTGCCAGCGCCAGTCATCCTCCTCCATGTTTCCAAGAGCCGCGTTGATCCCACCCTGGAAACAAGAGGAATACTTTACCAAACAGCGCCGCTCCAAAAGAACGAAAGACGCAAGCGGAGTCGAGGCAAAACTCCTCTCCAAAATGGCCGACGGTCCTGTTAACATGCGCCAGCGTGTGGGGGTACCTGTGCAGCGACGGTGTGAGACCTGGTGGGGAAGAGCTTGGTGACGCAGGCGGTGTTGAAGCCGGCCTCTGACAGGCCAAAAGCGGCCCGAAGGCCGGCTCCTCCGGCTCCCACCACCACGGCATCAAACTCGTGATCCACGACAGGATACTGAGTGGAGATCTGGAGACAGTCAGATAAAGAAGGTGTATGTTTAAAACTCCTGATAAAGAGGTGATCTGCAAATTGGTGAAGGAGGAAGTCCTGATTTTCAACACACAAAAAGAAGAGCTCACATCATCTGCTACTTTGACGCTTTTCTTCTTGCCGTAGATGGAGAAGTGAAAGTTCCTGGAACCCTGAACTGCAGCAGCAGGGACCTGAGAGAGAAGAAGAACAGCTAAAAACTCACATAGATTACATGAAATCCACTGAAGGCCGTGCTCCTATCAAAAAGACTCCAGAAGCAAATGAATTCGTGACCGTCTCGATGTTGACAACAGAGGAAGGAATCCAGTTTGTTAGTAAATTATGACACAAAGAAATGTTATGCACTGGTTGAACAAAGCAGAACTGCAGCTCAATTAAATATTTTCCTACAACTTCAGTTGAGGAAACAGACAGTAGATATTATTAGGAATCACTTAATATATAATAATCAAACTCTTACAGCTGCTAAAAATATGTTCGTTATCTCCCTGGTTACATCAGGAAAGCACTAGGATCAGAAAATTTTTCCAAACTGCCAGATATGTTTTGATCGGATCTGACCAGTGACTGGCAGACTAAACACTCTGACATCAGATATTTTATTTTCTGCTCCATGAAGGACTGGACACACCAAACTACCATGTTAGTAAACGACAACATGGAATTTAATGCACTGCTTTGAGTTTAGTTTAAAAAGATAGATGTTAAAAAAATACATTTTCAAAGGACAAACGGGGATGACCGCTTATTCCTACTTTTGTTTCAAAACTACCGTCTCTGCTACTGAGCCAGTAGCAGATATTTTCCTTCAAATCTCTATAAATACTCTTTTTTTAATTAAAAAAAAAAAAAGCTGACAGATATTGTTTCACACAAAGATGCTGCACTTAAATGTTTAGCAAGTCTGAGTGTGCTCCCCATCATCTCTGAAATTGGCATCATAATTTATCCCAAACAAACCGACATGGTCTTGTCAGGATCATAGCATTGTAAATAAGCAAACTGCATCAAACAGCATTTCCACTTCGAAAACAAACCAAACAAGCAAATTATGTTCCTATTAATATTTTCACTAAATACTAATTCAGTTTTCCCCTTTGAAATGCTTGCAATCAAAGGCACAACGTTGTATAGAGTGATGCATGTGCAAGTGTGGACCTCTTCATAGCCCATCATTGAGGATCTCATTTACTTCATCGGGGTTGGGTCCAGTAGTTTCTGGTAAAAAGTCAATAAATACCAACAACCATCATCTGAAACCAAAAGATGCCAGTTCTGAACACCATGTACAACAAAAATAAATCAGGAACAAGCAAAAATAAAGACAATATCTATAATGAAGCCTGACCCACGATAATGAAGCTTATTGAAAACAAGAGATGTGGTATAAGGGAATAGAAAACTGCATTTTAGTAGCTCTTCACAATGAGAGAGGAGCTAGCAAAAGAGAGGGCAAATATGGATCCATAATGCATAACACTGCAAGATAACATAGTAGAATTATTTAAAGATGCTTGAAAATGTGTGTTCTATGCCAACATTTGTTCTGCTTCTTGTCGTGCATGTATACATTCACTTGGAAAAAAAATAGCATGTCCACGAAAGGAGCTAATTACAAAGTTGTTAAATAAATAATAATAATAAAAACAATGGCCCATAAGGTTCACAAATATTGCTCTAAATTGATCATCTGCAAGACATAAACATGGAATAGTTCGATAATAACAATACTTTTCCCCGGGCTGGCGATAGTTGTATTCTTTGAGGTGTCACATTGAGACACCCTACGCTACATAATAGGTTACGCAAGCAACAACTCGGCGATTATGAAAGCAGTACTTATTTGCTGCCCATCTAAAAACGATGACTCAAATGTACACACATAGTCAAAGTATATCGAGATAGAACTGTGCCCAATCATTTTTGAATGTCCGGTTGTGGCTACTAACCGCTTTCGTGTTAGAGAGCACCCTCTTGGAGAGGAGACGGGACGCAGCGCGTACTGTCGCCATGTTGTCGGTTGAAAAACTGTTGCTCTGATGTCGGGGGAAGAAATATGCTGTTGGACTGGACGGAACCACTGTACGAAGAGGGGGGAGCTATCTAATTTATGCCTAACATATTTTACTTACAGAACAAATTTAGCTTTTTGTTTCGAGAGGACGATACATTCAGCAGTGTAAGAAAATTAAAAGACGAACAAAATTTGTTGTTTTGTGATATTTAAATAAAGTTTTATTCAAGTCGGTTTAACTCACCCACCCTCTCCAGCGGTGTGCGCGAGGAAATGGTTATTATTATATAAGCGGAGTATGCAGGAACAAATGCATAAGTGACCTAGGCATTTCATTCAAGGTGAGAGGCGGCTGCATGCACAATGCAGAAAATAAAATAATGGTTTGATTATAATTATGACGCAGCTACAGTTTCCGTTGTCAGCTTGGGGTTAAATACTGTGGCCGCAAAGGCAAACCTAAAGGTTAGCCAGCATGCTAGCTGATGCTAGCGGATGCTAGCTTTGTTTTTGGTCAGCTAAACTGCCAAACCTCCTCAGGTGTCGTCACCACAGTCTGTAAAAACACGTCTACAATATACGCAGACCTATTTTTTTGGTAGTCACGGGCATGTTGTTAATGCTAAAATAAATATTTACATCTAATGACGAATACTGAACTTAAGTTTAGGGTTTTAAAGGCAAACTAGCTGTCAATAATCTAAGCTACCAGTCCACACGTGTCTGAAATCTGCTGTGTTTATAACTGCAGGCGAATGTGCAAATCACATCGTTAGCTACATAAGGAATGAATATAAATAAAACATTTGTTTTCGTTGGATTATTTTATGCGCTTGTCCTTCCAGCAGCCTCCATGAACAACTTGAATGACCCCCCTAGATGGAACATCCAGCCAGACCAGGGAGGGGGGGATGCAGGGCCCGGTGGGGGCAACCAGTGGAACTACGCCCTGCTGGTCCCCATGCTGGGACTGGCTGCGTTTCGTAAGCTACACAATTATATCCATCTGGAAGTGTTGGGATTGGGCGTTTTAACTCTGGATTTAAAAGTGGGCAGAGTTATGCGGTTTCCTGACTTTAATGGCCATGGAGGCCTGAAGTTTGGAAACTGCTGCTTTTACACAGCTGTGTGGTTGTCCAGGGAGATTAAAGGATTTCTCAAACATGCATGAAGGATTAAAGGCAACACTTAATGTATGTTTTTGATGAGAAAATATCATAACATGACAAAAAGTTTTTTTAAAAAAAGCCAGTTTAACTTAAAACCACCTCTTTAAATAAGCAGTAACTGTTTTTATGAAGTTTTATAACAATACACTTAATTTCAATTTCAGTAGGACCAGAAAAAGCTCCTCTGGCCGTTTTACTAAAAACTGTTATCTTTAAAGGCTGGATATGGACCAGGGACTCTCAGAATGAGATCCAGAAGGTCAAAGTCCAGTACGACAAAGACGTTTCCGTGATAAAAAGCGAGATGGAGGCTCGCTACCGGGACACGCTGACAGAGAGCCGCAGGGCAGTGGCTACGCTGGAGCTGGAGCTGGAGAAGGAGCAACAGAGGGTGAAAGGATACCAGAAGGCTCTGGTCTCTCACAGCCAGCATCTAATCCAGGAACGGAAACAGCTGGAACAGGTATGCTGCCTTCAGCTCGCCCCGCTTTTACATCATTCTTGTCCATTTCTTGTTCCCACTAAAGAAAAACGTTTTTTTGTTTTTCTTTGACACAAGGAGCGACAGGCGCTAAACGACGAGAAACAAAAGCTCGTCAAATCAGGCGCCGCTGGTGCTGCGCTGCGTGACGCCTTGGAACGGGAGGCAGAGTGGCACCAGCGAGCCACAGCCACTCTGAGGGAGCTGGAGGGCCTGCTCATCGAGCGTCAGAACGCCTACTGCTCTCTCATCCTGCCCCGGGATCAGCGACTGGAGATGGAGAGGAACATGCTGCTGAAGATGGTCAAAAACCCCGTCGCCGCGGAGCTTGATCTGGAGTCTGACTTGAAGGATATCTTCAAGAGAGACAAGCACTGTGCGGATCTGATGAACATGGACAAGAGGAAGAACGGAAGCCTCATGTGGGTTTACTTGAAGTACTGGCAGCTGCAGATCACTCTGCAGAAACACAAAAGAGCAGAAGAAGCCATATTCGACGGGAGAATCCCAGGTCAAGGAAAGTGATCTCCATAAGCTGCTTTTGTTACTGTTTTTGGCTTTGAGTAATGTTAAGTTAATGTGGGACAGGGATCATCTGATGGGAATGTTATGCAAATACCTAAAAGGTAATCTTATGCGGATGTTTTTGTCCATGTCATTCATGATCTCTGAGTTATGGGAACATGATGAAAGTAGGTCTAATTTCTGAGGCCTCATTTAAGACTTGGCAGCTTTAATTTAACCACGGGGTAAGTTAAAATGCACTTAGATACATCAGGTGGAGTCCGACAGCACTTTAAATCGAAGACATTGAGATGTGAACTTAATTTTTATTTCCCTTTTATCTCATTTAGAAATTCGGATTAACACTCACATCTGATTTAATTTATAGGAATGAAGTAAAACACATAACGTTATGTTGATAGAACATAATTTTCTTCATATTTTAAGTTCTGGGTGGAGGCAACATTGGGACACAGTTTCAACGTATCACCGTTTCCTCAGTTTTTAATCATTTATAGTATTTTCCATTGGAATTGAAATACTTTTAGGTCTGACATGTTTGATTTGTGAGATATCTTGGTGACAGCACTTTATTGAAGCTGCATGTGTAAGTAAAATAAAACTTCAATAAAAACAAGAATGCTCAGATGGTTCTGCACTGTAATGCTCATGTAAAATGAATTCACATGTATAGCCTTTTTATTGGGAAACCAGGCTTTACGCTTTTCTTGTTTGTTTGTTTTTTTTTAAACTTTGTTCAAGTGATGGATTTTATTCCGTGAGCACACATATATTGATAACAACCACTATGTGCAATCTGAATATATTTTTTTTCAAGAACTGAACATGTTTGTGTTGTTTTCTTTTCCCCTCGAACTAAATACCGGTGTCCACAAGGGGGCGTTCTCAACTTAATTGTTTCCAGTGGTGTGCAAACTTTTTGCAACCTGGGCGAGAATCCCAAAGTAGAAAGTACAAAAAGCTTTTCCAACTTAAAGTCAATTCTGTTCTAATCTTCTCAACAATAAATTAAACAATTTCTTTAAGAAACAAAGAGCTGCATTTATTAGATGAAAGGCAGACAGTTTCTTTAGTTTTTGGGTAAATATTTTGAGTCCATTTCCTACAAATGAAAACTTTCTCCAACAAAAAACTCTCATGTGAACAAAGTTTAATAGAAGAATTCATCTTTTTTTTATTTTAAGTAATGCTTATAGCCCCACTTACTGTGAAATTATAAGAAAAAGAAAAAAATACTATGTGCTCAACAATTTCCACTAAAGAATAATGAGATATGTCATTAAAACTCTTATTCTAAAAAAAATGACAAAGGTGGCCATTGGAGGGTCACAATTGTACAATTCTTGAACTACAGTCATGGGCTGCAAAAAACATTCACTTTGGACAGGGCAACCCTGCTTTAATCCAAGACAGAATATGTTTGGAAGCTCATATTGCACAACTATAATGAACAATTCCAGTTACAATGAGTCCAGGTCTTCATGTGAGACACATTACACCGTTGCAACCAGCTTGCGTTCATATCTGGAGTTTTATTTCAACAGCATTAATCCATTATTGAATAGATCTAAATATGAACCCACAAGATGGGACCTACTGACATCTTTGCCATTACCGTCACAATTCCAGTTTTATATAAATAATAACAGCACGTGGCACTATTTAGACTCTTCAGCTGCAGTTATAATCTCATTTCACTCCCTCCTCTGCTCTCGATGAGACACTTCTCTCGGAGAGGACATCAGCCTGGAGGCTCTGAAGTTCTCTCTGGCCGGCTTGCAGGGGCCCCCAGTGATGGAGGGGGCTTCCTCCCTGTCTGCTGCGAGAGTCGCCTTTCCTTCAACGACGGGCTCTTCTGTGTCGGAGGCTTTGCTCCTGTTGGAGGACGGCAGCTGGTACTCTCTCATGACTCCCCCCTCGATGCCCAGCTTCAGGATCTGGCTGGGGCTCCTCTCAACCATTAGGTGGACCACCTGCTGCTGCTTGTAACTCTCTCTGCGAACGCTGTCGGTTTCTGACAACGTCAGCCTGGAACACAGCACAAACACACACACACAGTTAAACTTTATGCTATGCTTTAAGATGCAACAGACAATAAAAACAGGGAGATGTTAAGGCTAAAACCTATTTAGGATGATAAATTTCACATGACAAAAAAATGAGTCAGTTTCAGACAAATATAGGACCAACACTGTTGAAGGATGTTATTCTAGCTATCTTGTAAATATGTAATTTATTGAATTACATTTGGTTCATGATGAAAATATGGCTTCTTATTTCCAACACTCTGATATAACAAAACTCTGATCATTTTAGCTAGAAGAAGGCCTTTCGTTAAGTTTTTTTAATTCTTTTAATTTCTTACAAAAAAACAATGTATGAGATTGATGAGAGCAGATTTATGGTTCATCTTTAATTTACCTTCAGATGAAGAGCAAGTATTGTTCATGTTTATGCATTTGGCACATGACAAATGAGAATATAGTGATTCAGTCATTATCAAAACCAACGTTGAGCTACTTAGACCAATAATCCAATTCTGTCAGAGATGACAAAGGTGTCTGCACGGCATCCAATTTCAATTTCTATGATCTAACAACATTTTTTTTTCTTTCAATCTGTAAAAACAGTTAATATTTACAATTGAGCCCAAAATGATCCATACCCCTCTCTGTTTTAGTTTGAAAATTGTAAATCAAACCAAAAATTTGGATTGTCTAAAACATATAACAACATGAAGGTATTGTTTATCTTTTATTTGAATTAGGTTTTCTATAATTTTATTAAAAACAACACGTCAACAACTATTTGCATCCATATTCCAGTTCACATTGCTGGTGAAAAAATGTGTCATTGGTCGGATGTCTGAGCCGTTCTGAGCAGCTTTTAACATTCTCCCATTGGTATTTTAACCATTTCACTTTGTTAATATTAGTTCCAGTCAGAAGAAACCTGTTGCTATGAAAGATTGCTGTAAAACTCTTCTCTGTGTGGTGTGAATTGGACTACGAGGCCGTGTCTCTGCAGCTGATGGAGCCGTGCTCGGCACATCGAACCGCTCACCTGTACTGAGGTCTTGTCTCCAGCACCATGTTCAGCCAGCAGGCGCTGTAGCTCTCCTTCTTGCACAGGTCGTCCTCCTGAAGGTCCGAGTAGGACTTCACCAGGCAGACCCTTCCTCTGCTCACACAGTGCATAGTGGACGTATGTATGCAGACGTTTGTGGTTCTCGACGAGAACTTAAAGGAGATCGGACATTGAGTCGCCTGCGATGAGTTTCTCTGTGTTGCAATGTCTTAAATGTCCCGTCTTGTTGCTATATTTACTCCTCTGTGTCACATTGTTGTGTATTTGGTGAATGCCCCCCCTCAGGCTTTCTGCAGGTTGGTTTCCATCTGAAAAGGAGCTTTATGAAAGCCTCCATGATGTCAGCCAACTGGATTATCGGAGTGAATTTAAGCCTTGATATTTGTAGCTTTACAGACTTTGGAGCAATAAACAGGTTGAGCTAATGTGGTTTCAGATGTCAGCTTAGTGTCTTCGTGTAAACAGGTAGAATTGGTATTCTAATGGAGAGGATGTTCTTGGTTTACAAACCTATATATTTATGTGTGCAGACAGAAATATTAAATGGATTAGTGTGATCCCATTTGACCTGAGATCAAATGTCTGCTGGCATAGTTGAGGAGAGAAAGAAGCTCTGACTGGTTCTCTAATCGGGCTCATTAACTCAGAGCTGCTTTCCAAGCAGCGAGGCGGAGCAAAGGCGTTTTAAACATCGATGTTAAAACTTTTTTTCAACATTTTGTCTCATTGCAAGCAAGAAAAGTTCAACTCGTCTTATTGGATTTTTCTCCCCTTCGTATTGGAGTGTGATTATGAAGTGGAAAGAAAAGGACACATTTTCAAAGTGTTTTTACAAATGAAAAAACTTGAAACTCTTGTCCTGCGTTTGCATTCAACCCACTCCAGAGCTCGAGAAACACAGCAGAGATGTCAGGGATTGAGGTGTGAAGTTGAAAGTAGATTTAAAAAAAAAAACAACATGTACAGGTGGAAGGATATTCCGAAAGGCTCAAACACAAATCTGGTGTTTGTGGAATAATTTTGACGAAGAAACAATTGTTGAAGAACGTTAAAAGGAATCTCTACCACCAACAGCTGTGCAAGTTTGGTCAAATATGTCAGAATGACACAACTTTAATTTGTTCCGTCACTGCAATGGGGTGCCAAAAAAAAAAAAATAATAAAGAAACTGACAAACAAACCGCCTCTCAAATGGTTTGAACTATTAGGAATCGCAAATGTCATGTAAAATGAATAATAAAGTTTGCTCAGAACACAAAGTATAGAACTAGATGGGATAGATCTGCCCTTATGGATCAGACACATTGTCATCGATATCCAAGCTATAATTCCGATATCGGAACCGATGCAGATATTAATATCGGGTCGGTGGAGGAAAGCTATCTGGTCAGATGGGACCAAAATTCAACTTCTTGTCTTTAATGCAAAAGGCTACACCGCTTTTTACATCATCACCTCTGGGAAACATGGTGGTGGTAGAGTCATGCTGATGGGAGTCAAGTGAAGCTACAGAAGAGTTAGAGGATAATCCCGTAAAGCTGCCAGAGGCTATTGAAGACTTGAAGTCGATTTTTACCTCACCAGGTGTTTTAAAAGACATTCTTCCAGCAGGAGAACCCCCCAGCAACCTGAGTCTGATCAGAATGAAACTGAATCAGAAAGATCGTGACGCTGTGATGCGGCGGGGGGGGGAGCATGCTGGACTCCAACCAGCAACACCCGGCTCCGTGACACCAGAGTCAGCACCGCATGACTCCAGTTCAGGCACTGGTCCGAACACGTGTTGCTCTGGTGACAAGGACTCACATTCCCCCAAACAGATTAACCTTTGGTCACGTCAAAGTGGCATTAAAAGTCCCGAGAGGGGAGACGTATCACTTCATGCGGTTTCTATATCCGAGAAGAAAACATGCTTGTGTCTCTAACAATGTTGTTCTCTCACTGACCGCCCTGAACTCGCTCATTCATTTGGATGTTTGAAGTGGAAATAATTGGATGATTAACAAGAACAGCAATTATTTATTATTATGACGATGAATAGGATTACGATGATGGCACATTTTGCAGGTCTTCACTAAACCAGTTAAGATTTTTTTTGTTACTCAACACTTGAATTCTGTGATAAAAATGCAAATCACAGAATTGCTGTTTTGAATAAGAAAACAAAGGTGATTTTGCCAAACATCCAATAGCACATTATTATTCCTCTAACGAAATACCGATCGTTTGTAGTGAAGGCTGCATCTGCAGTTAAAAAGTACTGACTACTAGACTGTTTATTTTTTTATTGATAAATGGACAGCAAAATGTGGTTAAGAAGATTTTTTTTTTTAACAAACTTTTAACAAGAGTAAGCTAAAAATGCCACTTGAGGAGTTCTGGTTAGAACATATTTACAAAGAAGCTTTTTCATCTTAAATGCAGTAAACATATTTTTGTACAGTTTTGGCTTAATTACTGCTCTGATTATGTTAATTACTGCTCTGATTGGCATCCTTAAGAGTCTGTGTAGTCCAGTTAACAATTAACTGATTACAATTATGTCAATGATTTATCAATTACATTAACTGCTTCAGTCCTATTGTGAAATAAGAGACAGTTTATCACTTTTAATCAAAGGCTATAAAGAACAGATCCAAAACAATGATTTTTTTTTTCTGACTGAATGACTTTACTTTGTTCATTCACACATCATGTTCCTCCGACACTTTCATCTGAAAGAACTTTTTAAATCAGGGAAAAGCAGAAACACATGAGAAATGTCTGCATTTCTTTAAAAAAATGTACTCATGAAAAACAAAAACAACATACACACGAACACATGTCGTTTGTCTCCGTAAAGCTCATATCACCGAGCCTGAGCATCAGTTTCTGAACCAGGCGGGCCGTTTCCTGGACCGCTCCACTATCCTCTTCCCTCCGTCCTGCTCGCTCGGCGTCTCCCCCTCGTACAGGATGACCGTCTCCGCGGTCGGGGCCCTCAGGGGGCCGCCTTCCATTTCCTGGATCTGCTGACGTATCAGGGAGGTCTCCCTGCAAATCTTGGCGTAGCAGAAGCCGCAGAGGATGTGGCTCTGCTTCAAATGACCGCACTCTGGACACGGCTCGATGTTTCTCTGGTTGAGCAGACAGAAAGAGCAGAGGGAGTTAAAAAGTGATGAACCGCATAGAACACAACTTTTTTCTTACACCTCTTTAAAAGTAGCATTAACTGAAAATGAATAGGTTCATATTTAAATATTTTATGCTTTGGAAAAAAATACTATAAAACCATATCATTACTTTACCATAAATACTGAATTCAATGATCTTTTCAAAGCAATAGTGGGAAATTTGATAGGTGTTGTTGTTTTCATATAGGCATGACAAAAGCGAGCTACACAATTTTTAACGTTGAAAACAAAGCAAACACGCTCAAGATTTTTTTTCCTTTTTCATAAGGTAAAATATTGCTGAAATATGTACAGTTTTACTTTATGTATCATATTGAAGCAGTTCAAGCTGCGTCTTGTCTCAGGCTGTGGAGTCACTAACAATTGTATCTAAATAATCAATAATGAGGGGAGCAAAGGACAACTTTGCTCAACAAGCCAAGAGAAATTGGGTGCTGAACAGTCTGGTGGAGGACAATGGCACAAGGCAGAAGTGATGACTATAGATCCTGACATATCAGAACCTTGAGATGGTGGGTCCAGAGCCAGGAAACAAAGATCGTATCTCCAGTATGAACATATTAACGGTTTAATTTATTAAATTTGTTGTGTTTCTTCAAATGGTTTAACACAGAAACACTGTACAGCTAAAACGTTACACACCACAAACCTTAAGCTTACAGGGTGTGTGATGCAATAGGAGCTCTACTAATAATAAGAAACTGTGGCAGCGAAGATGCACCTTAACTTGGATCAGCTTTCTCTCATTTCTCCTTCTGGTTCTGTTGACCTCTATGGTGCGTCTCTTCTTGGGGGCCGCCATCCACAGGATGCTGTCCAGGAGGCCAGGTGTCTGCTCCGGGCTCTGCTCCTCGTCCTGCGGAGGGTCCTGCTGGATCTGGGGCAGAAGGCTGGGGCCATTCACTGCCAGAGCTGGGGCTGGGCACGGACAGAGAAACGGACACGCGTTTACCGACAGCTTACGACGTGGACGAGCGCCAGCACGGCGACAAAACCTCACATTTGTTGTTACAAAAGGAAGTGGAGCGACAACAACTGAATTGGGTTTAAGCAGCGGCCTTAATTTTTCTAATCTCACCCAGCTGCGTGTCCAGTCCGGATATTTGGAGGAGTCTGCTTTCAATGCGCAGCAGAGAACATCTGAGGCTGTGCACCAAGGCAGATAAGTTCATCATTTTGTGTCAGCACGTTTCTTCTCCTTCAGACATTACAAACGCCTCACGGTCACCGGGGTTTCTTCTTCTTCTTCGCTGATTTCATGTGCGACTGCCATCTAGTGGCAGTCGCACACACACACACACACACACACACACACACACACACCACACACACCACCACACACACACACACACACACACACACACACACACACACACACACACATATATATATATTTTTCATCAAAACGGCTCCTCTTTCATCAATTCAGTATCCAAATGTTTTCAAAAGGTCTTGCTCGGTTAGAAGAAACTGATATCGTTCATTCTCTGCTCGGCGGACCGTCACAGAAAGAATGACAGAACACCATTTAAATTAAAGTTGTATGAGTTACATTATTATGAAGCATATCCCATTTTACTAAACTAAACTAAACTAAACTAAACTAAACTAAACTAAACTAAACTAAACTAAACTAAACTAAACTAAACATTCTTCTGCCATTTAAACGTTAAGTTGTAATATTCGTATAATGATATAACACAGGCGTAAAGAAGGGAAGACTTTCACATTTATTTTATGACGCTTCTCCCAGAGGGCGCTGTGCAACTCTAAGTGTATTTGGAGTTTCCTGTTCACTTTTGCATAGAAGAAGAAGGAGATCAAAATGGCGGAGCGTGGCTATAGTTTCTCTCTCACCACATTTAGGTAAACTTTCTGAAAAAAGCAAGATAATCCTTGTCAGAAATTTCAAGTTGCGACGTGAAAATGTTTTCTTGAACATTAGTATTATTTAGAGTTTCAGTGTGGTCCGTTTAAATACTGAGAGGCGTTCTCGCTCGCGGCTGGAGTTGATGCACTGTCATTGTCGTCCAATGAATCGGCTATTAGCTTAACGGCTAACTCTTAAATATGAACTTTTAAGATATTTTTAGAGTGAAATTCCATCGGTTGAAAAAATAATATTAATAATTATATAACCAGTTGGTGATTGTAAAGAGTTGAATATCGCTGTGTTGGTAGTTTGCTTTGCTAACATTAACAGACATTAGTTTCTGGTGTTACTTTCAGTTTCGTCTTTGTCAGATAGTTTATTGTTTAATTCTTTAGTGCATCGGGAGGGAATAGTTTTGCTCGCACGTGGATGAGCTTCACTCCCTTCCAGCCTTCAGCATAATATCTAAACGTGATGTTTGTGCTCCTGCAGCCCCTCGGGTAAACTGGTCCAGATTGAATATGCGCTGGCAGCTGTAGCAGCAGGAGCTCCCTCAGTTGGCATCAAAGGTAGGAAACATGGGAATCTGCTGCTGTAATGTAATTTCATTCAGTCGAAGGGGACATTATTGCTTCTCTCCTGCACAAAGAAGTGTCGTTGAACTAAATTTGTGACTTTTGAGTCATATTTTCATGTGGATACTCTGCTACTTTGGATGTGATCACACTGGTTATCTTATTACAGCCACTAATGGAGTGGTCCTTGCTACGGAGAAGAAGCAGAAATCCATTCTGTATGATGAACAGAGTGTCCACAAAGTGGAACCCATTACCAAACACATAGGCATGGTCTACAGTGGCATGGGACCTGACTACAGGTGGGGAGACTTTGCCCATCTGGATGTGAAATCTTAACAACTTGAAGCCTAACTTGAATTTAAACATAAAACTACAATTCAAATGAATTTCCAGTCTATGGATTATCATGCTTTTTATAACTGCACAAAATCAAAAAATATTTCTAAAATGTATTTTGTTAATTTGCTTTGTGAGGTTAAGGAATTTACTTTATCCATAGACGATGACATCATTGTTTGGGTAATAAAATAGCTCAGTCTTGACCCACAGATAGACTAATATGTTTCTCATCATGACAGGGTTTTGGTGCGAAGAGCCCGGAAGCTGGCACAGCAGTACTATCTGGTGTACCAGGAGCCAATTCCGACAGGCCAGCTTGTCCAGAGGGTGGCCTCTGTAATGCAGGAATACACACAGTCTGGGTACGTTTGGGTGAACAGTTCGTATTGCATACTCTTTCACTGTGAATGTTGCTATAAAGCATGAGCTATAGACTTGTAAATTTGTCTAATGTATAGCTCATAGTTTTACCTGATATGCGCCAAAGTATTCACTTTCTTCACTTGCTTCCTGTTTTGGAGAGGATGCAGAACGAATTCTTCACCATTTAGTTCATCCTTCTGAAAATCTTTCTTTGTCAGTTGTGGTACTTCACGGACAGGAGACAATTTTAAAATTGTATTCCTAAATAATGTGTTTTTCTTTTCTCACCTCTAGCGGAGTGCGTCCATTTGGTGTGTCACTGCTGATAGCTGGTTGGGATGAGGATCACCCCTACTTGTTCCAGTCCGATCCTTCTGTAAGTTGATTTATTTTCTCATTGTCTGATAAGTTGTTTTACGCTTTTGCCATCAGTACGTTTAGAAAAATGAAAGGTGGACATTGGATTATGCTTGTATATATCTGTCAGAAACATGAAAGGCCCCCAAATATCAGTATTCTGTTTTTGTATTACAGGGAGCATACTTTGCATGGAAGGCCACAGCCATGGGAAAGAACTATGTCAATGGAAAAACATTCCTTGAAAAAAGGTACAGGTTGAGAATTAAATATGAAAGTTATATCCAATACACTGTCAATGGATATACATTATGAATTTATGTGTGGAGTGTGGCCACACATAAATTCATAGAACTTATGTGTGCTTGCTGTTCCTGGGCTCTTTGTTTTTTCTTTTCAATCCAGAAAGAACTGGTCATTTTTAAGGAATTGTTAAGTCATGATTCATTTTTATGTTATTTTCTATTAAGCTCTTTAAAAGTCTGAATCTTGGAATACTGTTTATAAATAGATTAATCCTAATAATGACTGATTTATGAGTAAGCATTTTGTGTTGTCTTTTTTTTTTTCCCTTTAGGTATAATAATGACCTGGAGTTAGAAGATGCCATTCACACAGCCATCCTTACGTTGAAGGTAGATCAGATCTTATCAGCATTACTGGAAGCATTAAAACATTTTTGTTATTGTGCTTACTTTCAAATCCATTATTAACATTTGTTTGTCTTTGTGCATTAGGAGAGTTTTGAGGGTCAGATGACGGAGGAGAACATTGAGGTGGGAATCTGCAATGAGGCCGGGTTCAAAAGACTCACCCCTGCAGAGGTGAAAGACTACCTGGCAGCCATCGCGTGAACACAGCCTCTCTGAAGGGCCACTTGGCTACATTTCAAAACAGATTTAGCAGCACAGTGGCCAATTGACACAAGGAACAGAAGAGTATGTCCACAACAACATAATGAAGACGTACACATCCCTATTCACAATTGCGACTCAATGTCTGCACAAATGTTTATACTTAAGGAGATAAGAAAATAAATGAGCTTCACCCTAACATGTACTCTTGATGTCATTTGTGACAATTGGTTCGTGTGCATTCTGAAAAGGTTTTGAGCTCTGAGAGAAATCTCAGGTCTTCCACTGAATCTGCGCCGAGTTTGAGGACACACTTCTTCTGCATAATACATTTAGCTAAAAAAGCATATTTGCGTAAAAATCAAACTTATTAGAGGTCATGACAAATGTTTTTCTTTGCATTCAACAAAAGATATTTAAATCTTTTAATAGATTTGAGTTGGTTTAAAAAGTAAGCAGGTTTTGGAGGATTCAGTGGCGAGGCTTGAGATTTTACAGTCAAGATCTGATTGCTGTACTACCGTTTTACATTATGTACTTTTTTTCAGGCTTGATACAGTTCTTAAATTTGTATTTTCTCCACTGTTATGTGTCACCTATTCAAATAAAGAATGGTGAACTGTTCACTTGTTGCTTCGACTCATTCAATTTTTATTTTGAAAATATTTTAAAACGAGTGCGCTCTAACGTTTACCGGAGCACCTTGTCAAAGTATGTATGTATCCCTCCGCTTCTGTTTTTGTTTCTGTGTTTTTATTTGCTGTTAGTTGTACGGTTGTGTCTGTAAATCGTATTCAGTCGTACAACAGAGGTGTTGTGTTCGAAATTAAACTGAAGTTTTTGATTTGATTTAGTGCGAACGATTAGTCGGCGCTCTGTTTGTGTCAGCGGAGGAGTAGCCCCCCAGTCCACATAACGCCCTGATGACGTTTATGGCGCCAGAAATCAAGGGCTCAGAGAGGAGTGAGTGTGTGTCAGCTGGAGAGAACGGCGCGTTATTTGTATTATGTTGACGACATTGTAAACGTAGCGATCGTGGACGGATTTCTCCTTCATTTGTGGTTGTAATAAAGTCAAGATGGTGGTCCTACGCAGCAGCGGTGGAGTCGGAGCTGAACCGGTGGCCACAATTCCAAAGAGAAGGTCGACGGAGCTGGAAATGAGCCCCGACTTTCTGTCGCTGATTCCCGCGTCGCAGAGAAAGTCTGCCCGGGTGACTCGGTCCTCTCGGTCCCTGAATGACAGCTTCAGCAGCCCGGAAACCAACTCGGTGAATGTAAGAACATGCGAGGATAGCACTTATTTGGCGGACAAGTTGTCGTTAATGGCAACTTAGGTGTGTGCCGCTTCAGCTAACGCGCCAAGCTAACTAGCTCAGCCGCTGCAGCTCGAGCGCGTCGCTGCTCCAAACGTCAGATTTAATAGAAACTTTCTATGCGCTGTTGTTGATACCAGGGTAATGATAATTAATAAGTCATGCGGTGTACTTACACAGTAACCTAGCGCTTTTAACCTGTTTGTTTCCCGGTTCTGTAAATACCAGACACTTCCTTCATCCCTCACTTCTCAACCTGGATCTCAGACCTGAGAAACTGATTATAATCAAGACTGGTACTTTCTATAAAGTTTGAACTATGGAAAAAAAAAATAATTATATATATATAATATATATATATATATATAATATATATATATATATATATATATATATATATATATATATATATACACTTTATACCTTCTCATATTCTAAATATTGTATTCACCTGGTTCTTTGCCCATTGTCCAATGGGCAAACTAATCTATTTTTGGGCTTTCATAAATTCGTCCAATCTTACTGTTTTTTTTTTTTTTTTTTGCAATATTTGTACTTTTGCAATATTCTCACACTTGT